TGGAAGGTGTTGCTTATTTTTCACATGATAATTTCCTACTCTCTCTTTTAGACATATTACAGATGCTACACTTGCCATTGTGAAAGGAGAGACAGTTCCACTTGATGTCTTGCAGATCAAGGTAAAGACTTTTTCTTAGATTTTGAAAAAAATGTGAAAGTAATATACACATGCATGTTAAAGAAAATAAAATACAACAGTTCATATGAGATCACAATGAAAGCAACAGTCCCTCTTTCCTTTGCATTCCAAGTATTACCCCAGAGAAAAATAATTTTAACCTGTTAATTCTACTTGTTATTATGAATTAATATGTTTATAGTTCTACTTTAAAAAAAAAGTTGTAGTAAAAAAATCACATTTACCATCATAACCATTTAAAAATTTTAAATTTTAGCAACTTTGGGGGGTACAAATATTTTTGGTCTGGGCTTTAAGTGTACCCACCATTCCCTTCTGTGCACATTATACCTGATTCCCCCTCCCCTTTCTGAGTCTCCAGTGTCCATTATGCTATTGTCTATATCTTTGCATAGCCTTAGTTTAGCTTCCACTTATAAGTGAGAACTTGTGGTGTTTGGTCTTCTGTTCCTGAGTTAGTTCACTTAGGATGGTGTTCTTCAATTCCATCAAAGTTGCTGCAAAACACATGATTTCATTCTTTTTGATGGCTGAATTGTATTCCATAGTGAATATATACCACATTTTCATTATCCACTGATTGGTTGATCGGCATATAGATTGATTCTACGTCATTGCAATTGTAAGTTGTGCTGCGATGAACATGTGGGTTGCAGGTGTCTGTTTTATAAAATTACCTTTGGGTGTTCCTTTGGGTAGATACCTAGTAGTGGGATTCATGGATCAAATGGTGGATCTACTTTTGGTTCTTTGATAAATTTCCACACTGCTTTCCATAGAGGTTGTACTAATTTACCCTCCCACCAACAGTGTATAAGTGTTCCCTTTTCTCCACATCCATACCAGCATCCACTGTTTTTTGATCTTTTTTTTTTTTAAATTTTTTTTGGCAGAACTACGAAAATCTTTAATTGGTATAGATCCCAGAATATTTCACAGAACTGCAATCACCATACGAACATGTAGATTCAGTACATATTTGGAAGCAGCATAGCACAAACCCCAAGAAGAGCATGAAGTCATCTCTCTGTGGGTTCATTTGTAGCCATACTGTGAAGTAGCTCTTTTACACAACAACACAACTGCAAATTTGTAATACTTAATCTTACATTTTATGTATAGACCATAATTATTCTCAGAAGCAAATCGAAGAAATCTGAGGCCACAACACCATTACCAATTAAGAAATGTGGTACTTACTTTCTTCTATATTTAGGAAAAAAAAAATCCAGTTTTGGAGGTGCCAATCCTTACCCCTATACTAATGCCAGGTATTGAGCAGGGAATAATGGGGGAGTCCTGGGCTTCAGCCCTTGATGGACATGCTCAAGGACCACAGAGCACTTGGGCCATATTACCAAAGAGGACCTTGAACATCTATCATAATACTATAAGAAAAGGATTGACAGTGGTAGGAATCTATGGGAGGGGGGCAGGGAGGACAAGGGGGGTGGGATTAACGGTAGTCGATATCTGTCTGGGGATGGGGGGACACCTTTTATCAACAAGGGTGGCTGAACGATGCATATTTGTATACCTAACCCTTTACTGTACCCCACAATTTTAAAATAAAATTTATGTTTAAAGAAATGCTAAGTATTGCAAATCGATCTTTTTTTAAAACTGTGGAGTACAATTCAAGATTAGGTATAGAAGTAGCCATCATACAAAGTTTGGGCCTCCCTTTTTTCCCCACTTCACCTGGTTTGAGATCAAGTACTTTTATTGATGTTATGTCCTACTCCCTACCCTTTCCCTGGTAGTTTCCTGCTATGTCAATCCCTTTCTTATGGTATTATGGTAAATGTTTGGGGTCCGCTTATGAGTGAGAACATGTGGTACTCAGTTCTTTGTTTCTGTGATAGATCACTGATTATTATAGCTGGTATAAGGTCTTATTGTGGTTTTAGTTTGCATTTCTCTGATGATGAGTGATGTTGAGCGTTTTTCATATATTTGTTGGCCATTTATATATCATCATTTGAGAAGTCTGTTCATGTCATTTGCCAGCTTTTTAATGAGGTTATTTGCTTTTTCCTTGCCGATTTGAGTTCTTTATAGATTCTAGATATTAGTCGTTTGTCAGATGTATAGTTTGTGAATATCTTCTCCCATTCTGTGGGTTGCCTGTTTGCTCTGTTAGTTTTTTCTTTTGCAGTACAGAAGCTTTTAATTCAATTAAGTCCCACTTGTTTATTTTTGTTTTAGTTGCATTTGCTTTTGGAGTTTTAGCCATAGATTCTTTGCCTAGACCAATAACCAGAAGAGTTTTTCCTAGGTTTTCTTCTAGGATTTTTATGGTTTCAGGTCTGACATTTAAATCTTTACTCCATCTTGAGTTAATTTTTGTATACGGGGACAGATAGGGATCAAGTTTCATTTTTCTGTATGTAGCTATCCAGTTTTCCCAGAACCATGTGTTGAATAGGCATCCTTTCCCACAGTGTATATTTGTGTCTGTTTTGTTGAAGATCAGGGGGTTGTAGGTATTTGGGTTCATTTCTGGATTCTTAATTTTGTTCTATTGGTCCATGTGTCTGCTCTTGTACCAGTACCATGCTGTTTTGGTCACTATAGCCTTGTAGTATAATTTGAAGTCAGATAATGTGAGGCCGCCAGCCTTGTTCTTTTTGTTTAGAGTTGCTTTGGATATTCAGGCAGTTTTTTGATTCCATATGAATTTAAGGATTGTTTTTCCTAATTCTATGAAAAATGACATTGGTAGTTTGATAGGGATTGCATTGAATCTGCAGGTTACTTTGGGTAATGTGGTCATTTTACCAATGTTGATTCTTCCAATCTATGAGCATGGAATGTCTATTTGTGTCCTCAACAGTTCTTTCATCGGGGTTTTGTAGTTCCCCTCGTAGAGAACTTTCACCTTCTTGGTTAAATATATTCCTAGGTATTTGACCTTTTTGGCTGCTATTGGAAATGGAATTGAGTTCTTAATTTGATTCTCAGCTTGGTTGTCGTTGGTGTATAGTAGTGCTACTGATTAGTATGTGTTAATTTTGTATCCTGAAACTTTACCAAATTCATGTATCAAGTTCAGAAGTCTTTTGGGGGAGTCTTCAGGATTCCATAGGTATAAGATCATATAGTCAGCATACAGAGATAGTTTGATTTCTTCTTTTCCAATTTGGCTACCCTTCATTTCTTTTTCTTGCCTGATTGCTCTGGCTAGGACTTCTAGTACTATGTTGAATAGGAGTGGCAAAAGTGGGCGTCCTTGCCTTGTTCCATTTCTGAGGGGGAATGTGTTCAACTTTTCTCTATTTAGGATATTAGCTGTGGGTTTGTCATATGTGGTTTTTCTTATTTTGAGGAATGTTCCCTGTATGCTGACTTTGCTGAAGGTTTTTATCATGAAAGGAGGCTGGATTTTATCAGATATTTTTTCTGCATCTGTTGAAATGATTAGATAATTTTTATTTTTAATTATGTTTATGCAGTGGATAACACTGATTGACTTGCATATGTTGAACTAACCTTGCATTCCTGGGATAAAACTCACTTGGTTGTGGTGTATTTTTTTTTTATGTGCTGCTAAATTCAGTTTGTTAATATTTTGTTGAGATTTTTCATGTCTAAGGATATTGGTCTGTAGTTTGCTTTCTTTGTTGTGTCTTTTCCTGGCATTGGTATCAGAGTGATACTGGCTTTATACAATAAATTAGGGAGGATTCCTTCCTCTTCAATCTTGTGGAATAGCTTCAGTAAAATTGGTACCAGGTCTTCTTTGAAGGTCTGGTAAAATTCAGCTGTGAGTCCATCAGTCCTGGACTTTTTTTTTTTTTTTTTATTGGGAGGCTTCTAATGTTTCAATCTTGCTACTCATTATTGGTCTGTTCAGGGTTTCTGTTTTTTTGTGATTTAAGGTTAGGGTGTTGTCATTTCCAAGAATTTATCCATTTCCTCTAGATTGTCTGTTTGTATAGAGGTGTTCATAATAGTCTCAAATAATCTTCTGAATTTATATCATATCAGTTGTAATGTCTCCATTTTCATTTCTGATTGAACTAATTTGAATCTTCTCTTTGTTTCTTAATCTGGCTAGTGATCTATCAATTTTGTTTATTTTTTCAAAGAGCCAACTTTTTGCTTCATTTATTGTTTGTATTTTTTAAAATTTCAAATTCATTCTATTCTGCTCTGATCTTTGTTATTTCTCTTCATCGGCTAGCTTTGGGTTTGGTTTTTTTGTGTTCTTCTCGTTCCTTGAGGTGTGATGTTTGGTTGACGTAATCTTTCAGTCTTATTAATGTAGGCCTTAAGTGCTATAAATTTTCTTCTGAGCACAGCTTTGGCTGTATCTCATAGGTTTTGATAACTTGCTTCATTGTCATTTGTTTCAAGGAATTTTTAAATTTCCATCTTGATTTCATTGTTGACCTAAGGTTCATTCAGGGGCAGATTGTTTAACTTCTGTGTTTTTGTGTGGCTTTGCATGTTCTTTTTGGAGTTAATTTCTAGTTTTATTCCACTGTGGTTTGACAAAGTGCTTGATACAATTCCAATTTTTAAATGATTTATTGAGAATTGATTTGTGGCCTATCTATCATATGGTCTATCCTGGAGAATATTTCATGTGCTGATGAGAAAAATGTATATTCTATAGTTTGGGGATGGAATGTTATATAGATGTCTGTTAGTTCCATTTGCTCTAGAGTCTAGTTTAACTCCAGTGTTTCTGTTGACTTTCTGTCTTGATGATCTGGCTATTGCTCTCAGTAAAGTGTTGAAGTTGCCCACTATTATTGTATTGCTGTCTATCTCTTTTTTTAGGACTCTTTCTTTTAGAATTTATTTTATAAAGCTAGGAGTCTGGTATTAGGGGCATATATATTTTAAATTGTTATGGTGTTCTCATTGGATTGATTCCTTTATCCTTACATAATAGCCACCTTTGTCTTTTTTTTACTGTTGTTAATTTAAAGTCTGTTTTATCTGATATGAGAAGGCTACTCCTGCTCATTT